GACCCGGTCTAGCTGCCTCCCAGATCCATTGTTCACCACCCACCCCTCACAGTTGCTGGGTTATGTCTCCACTGAACTTCTCAGCATCTGGGGACGTATGTTCCCTCTGCCCAAAATAACCTATCCCTGTCTCCACCTGTTGAGATCTATCCCTAAAGGATTATTCAATAAATAGTCCTGGAACAACTGGTTAGTCATTTGAAGGAAATTTTTTAAATTCTTCACCCATACTATACACCAAAATATATTCCAGATAGAGTTAAACAGAAAATATAAATATATAGTAAAACCACATATATAAAAACAGTAACACAAAAAGTCTCTAAAAGTGTTCAAAAACCGTGACTACTGAGTATCTGAAATGGGAGAAGACCCTAAGCTTAAAGCAAAGTATGAAATTTCAAAAGAATCAAGCAATATATCTGACTCATTAAATAGAATTTGAGTTGTTAAAATCACACTGATAAGAAATGAACACAGGGCGCCGGGCATGGTGGTTCCTGCCTGTAATCCTAGCACTTTGGGAGGCCAAGGTGGGCGAATCACCTGAGGTTGGTAGTTTGAGACCAGCCTCACCAACATGAAGAAACCCTGTCTCTACTAAAAATGCAAAATTAGCTGGGCATGGTGGCACATCCCTGTAATCTCAGCTACTCAAGAGGCTGGAGAATTGCTTGAACCTGGGAGGCAGAGGTTGTGGTGAGCCAAGATTACACCATTGTCCTCCAGTCCTCCAGCCCAGGCAACAAGAGTAAAACTCCATCTCAGGAAAAAAAAAAAAAAAAAAAAAAGGCTGGGCGTGGTGGCTCAAGCCTGTAATCCCAGCAGTTTGGGAGGCCGAGGCGGGTGGATCACAAGGTTGAGAGATCGAGACCATCCTGGTCAACATGGTGAAACCCCGTCTCTACTAAAAATACAAAAAACTAGCTGGGCATGGTGGCGCATGCCTGTAATCCCAGCTACTCAGGAGGCTGAGGCAGGAGAATTGCCTGAGCCCAGGAGGCGGAGGTTGCGGTGAGCCGAGATCGCACCATTGCACTCCAGCCTGGGTAACAAGAGCGAAACTCCGTCTCAAAAAAAAAAAAAAAAAAAATCAAAGGGGGCCAGGCGCAGTGGCTCAGGCCTGTTATCCCTATAATCCCAGCATTTTGGTAGGTCGAGGCAGGCCGATCACAAGGTCAAGAGATCCAGACCATCCTGGCCAACATGGTAAAACCGTTGCTACTAAAAATACAAAAATTAGCTGGACATGGTGGCACGCACTTGTAATCCTAGCTACTCTGGAGGCTGAGGCAGGAGAATCACTTGAACCTGGGAGGCAAAGGTTGTAATGAGGCAAGGTCCAGCCACTGCTCTCCAACCTGGTGACAGAGCAAGACTCTGTCTCAAAAAAAAAAGAAAGAAATGAACAGAGGGATAGAGAGTCCTTTTCATGAACAGAATGTTGGGGTCCTCCATGTAGGGAAGTTGCATTAGAGAGGAGAAATCAGAAAGTTGTTTGGTTAGCAAGACACTAGAGAAGGACTTGGGTGGACATCTTTCACAAAGATCAAATGATGCCTGACATTGCATTCCTTCCTTAGGGATTTTTTTTTTTTTTTTTTTTTTTTTTTTTTTTTTTAGACAGAGTCTTGGTCCATCACAAGGCGCCAGGCTGGAGTGCAGTGGCACTATCTCGGCTCACTGCAACCTCCGCCTCCCAGGTTCAAGCAATTCTCCTGCCTCAGCTTCCCGAGTAGGGGGGACTCCCGAGTAGGCATGCATCACCATGCCCAGCTAATTTTTGTATTTTTAGTAGATACGGGGTTTCATCATGTTGGCCAGGATGGTCTCGATCTCTTGACCTCGTGATCCACCCGTCTCAGCCTCCCAAAGTGCTGGGATTACAGGTGTGAGCCATCGCAACTGGCCAGGGATTTTAAATGTCTCAATCCTCTCCAAGGATTGAATTGTTCAAGGCCAAAAATGTGGTACCTTCCTCTGAACCCTCCTTGTCCTAGGAACCTGATGTCAAATCCACCCTACCTGCTGGCAGCTCCCACACCTAATCACTACTGACCCATACGGATGTACCCCATTCACGTTTATTGAGCACTCACTGTAATTTAGGCAGTATTGTCAATATTTTTCAAGGATTATTGCCCAACAACCCTACAAAGTATTCTTTTTTTTTTTTTTTTTTTTTTTTTTTTTTTTTTTTTTTTTGAGGCGGAGTTTCGCTCTCGTTACCCAGGCTGGAGTGCAATGGCGCGATCTCGGCTCACCGCAACCTCCGCCTCCTGGGTTCAGGCAATTCTCCTGCCTCAGCCTCCTGAGTAGCTGGGATTACAGGCACACGCCACCATGCCCAGCTGATTTTTTGTATTTTTTTTTTAGTAGAGACGGGGTTTCACCATGTCGACCAGGATGGTCTCGAACTCTCGACCTCGTGATCCACCCGCCTCGGCCTCCCAAAGTGCTGGGATTACAGGCTTGAGCCACCGCGCCCGGCCAAGGTATTCTTTTTAGTGCAGTTGTCCCCTCTTTGTTTAGCGCAAACATCCTCTTTGATTCCCCTCTTTTCCAAATAATAGCTACTTTATTGGGGTCTAATTTATCTACAATAAACTACAACTCAAATGAATTTTGGTAGATCTGTGAAATCACTACCATGAACAGAATACATCACCCTTAAAAAGTTTCCTTGTATTACTCTTTCCAATCTTTCTCTACATGTTCAGGCCCAGGCAACTACTGATTTGCTCTCTGACACACACACACACACACACACACACACTCACTCACACACTCCTCCTTCATATACATTTGTATAAATAGGGTCATACAAACTGTGTGAATATACTTTCACTTCCCTTGAGTAAATACCTAGAAGTGGAGGCTGGGTATGGTGGCTCACGCCTGTACTCCTAGCACTTTGGGAGGCCGAGGTGGGTGGATTGCCTGAGTTCAGGATTTCGAGGCCAGCTTAGGCAAAATGGTGAAATCCCATCTCTACTAAAACACACTAAAACACAAAAAACTAGCCGGGTGTGGTAGCATATGCCTGTAGTCCCAGCCACTGGGGAAGGTGAAGCAGGAGAACTGCTTGAACCCAGGAGGCAGAGGTTGCAGTGAGCTGAGATCGCGCCACTGCACTCCAGCCTGGGCGACAGAGTAAGACTGTCTTTAAAAAAAAAAAAAAAAAAGTGGAACTTTTGGGCCTTATGATAGGTATGTGTTTATAAGAAATTGCCAAACTGTTTTCCAAAGCATTTATACCATTTTATATTCCTACTCAACAGTGTATGAGAGTTTCAGTTTCTCCCTATCCTTCTCAACACTTGATGTTACAATTTTAATTTTAGCCATTCTAGTTGGTATTTCATCGTGCATTTTATTTACAATTTCCTACTGATCAATAATGTTGAGCATTGTTTCTTGTGCTTACTAGCTTTTTTGGTGAAGTGTCTGTTAAATCTTTTGCCTGACTTTTATATTGGGTTACCTTATTACTGAGTTTTAAGTGTTCTTTATAAGTCCATTGTTGGACTCACTATCTATTAACTCCATTTAGGCTGGGTGTGGTGGCTCATACCTGTAATCCCACCACTTTGGGAGGCGGAAGTGGGCAGATCACCTTAGGTCAGGAGTTCAAGACCAGCCTGGCCAACATGGTGAAGTGCCATCTCTACTAAAAATACAAAAATTAGCCAGGTGTGGTGGCGGATGCCTGTAATCTGCAGAACTGCTTGAACCTGGGAGGCGGAGGGTGCAGAGAGCCAAGATCGTGCCAATGCACTCCACAGCCTGGGCGACAAAGCAAGACTCAAAAAAAAAGAAAGAAAAAAAAAAAAAAAAAAAACATTTAAGGATGAGAACATTTTGGCTTGAAAAATTAGTAACTGGTCAAGGTCACAGATTCAAACCTAGTGCAACTGCAGAGCCTACACTTTTTAGCACTATTCCAATACTGCCTCTTGTTACACTTCAATCCTTAGAACAAAAAGGCCTCATAGGAATTACTCGCATTTTATTGGTAAAGAAACTAAAGATTGGCAGTCAATTCCCTTAACCACTTTAATACGGCCCATAAGTGTAGGGACAGCAAGAGCTTGTTAACTGCTCTGGATGCCAAATTTTACCTCATTCTAAACCATCTTCTATATTGTTCCCATAGTGATCTTTCCAAAATGTGAATCTGATCACATACGGTGGCTCCAGACTCTGGGGTAGGCAATAACTCTCCCGCATTGCAGACGGCCTTCCTTGATCTAATCCACCTTCCCGCGTCATCTACAACCATTCTTCAGGCATACACACCCCCAGCTGCTCTGAGTTCCCAATGTCAGGCCCTGGGTGCCTCTGCACTGCCGTCTCCTATGCTGGGAGGCTCTTCAGAGTTGCCAGGCCAACTGCAGCTTGCCCTTGAGTCAGCTCATGCCTTCTCTGGTGAACCCCACAGGCCGGTCAGAACCCACTTCCGAGTGCTCCAAAGGATCTCCTTCACACCGGTCGCCATACTGTGTAGACTGGAACTCTGTTCCCAGAACACAACCAGGGCTGGGGCCAGAGTATCCTCAGCTAACGCCACGAAAACGAGGAGGGACATGAAAGACACTGGAGTCTAAAATAAAAGTGTCATGAGAAGAGGCGCGTAGACAGATGCAGCGGGAGCCTGAGTCACGCTAACGCTGGCAAGCGCCCAGGAACGGCCAGCAAGCAGCAGCACTACCCGACTCCCAACTTGCCTCCCGCCCCGCGCGGTCCCTGACGTCATCCCTCTGCGCCAAACGGCCGCGGAGTTTCCGGCTGCGAGGCCGCGGTGGGCGGGGCAGAGTGACTTCACGGGAAGTCGCGCACCGGAAGTGGCTAGGACTGTAAGGAAGTCGCGGGGGCGGGGCGCGGAGGCGATGGGGGGCGGCGGCGGCCGGCGATGAGCGGCGGGAGCGCGTGAGCGAGCCGGGCGGGCGAGGCTGGGGGGCCCCGGAGCGCGAGCCGCAGGGCGGAGGGCGGGGGCGCGAGCGCGGCGGGCGGTGGCGGCGAGGCGGCGGCCGAGAAGATGGCGGACGGCGACAGCGGCAGCGAGCGCGGCGGCGGCGGTGGGCCGGGAGGCTTCCAGCCCGCGTCCCGCGGCGGCGGCGAGCAGGAGACGCAGGAGCTGGCCTCAAAGCGGCTGGACATCCAGAACAAGCGCTTCTACTTAGATGTGAAGCAGAATGCCAAGGGCCGCTTCCTCAAGATCGCCGAGGTGGGCGCGGGCGGTTCCAAGAGCCGCCTGACGCTGTCCATGGCGGTGGCTGCCGAGTTCCGTGACTCTCTGGGCGACTTCATCGAGCACTACGCGCAGCTGGGCCCTAGCAGCCCTGAGCAGCTGGCGGCGGGCGCCGAGGAGGGCGGCGGGCCGCGGCGCGCGCTCAAGAGCGAGTTCCTGGTGCGTGAGAACCGCAAGTACTACCTGGACCTCAAGGAGAACCAGCGCGGCCGCTTCCTGCGCATCCGCCAAACGGTCAACCGCGGCGGTGGCGGCTTCGGCGCGGGTCCCGGGCCCGGCGGCCTGCAGAGCGGCCAGACCATCGCGCTGCCTGCGCAGGGCCTCATCGAGTTCCGCGACGCGCTGGCCAAGCTCATCGACGACTACGGAGGCGAGGACGACGAGCTGGCAGGCGGCCCGGGAGGCGGCGCCGGAGGCCCAGGGGGCGGCCTGTATGGAGAGCTCCCGGAGGGCACCTCTATCACGGTGGACTCCAAGCGCTTCTTCTTCGATGTGGGCTGCAACAAATACGGGGTGTTTCTGCGAGTGAGCGAGGTGAAGCCGTCCTATCGCAATGCCATCACCGTGCCCTTCAAAGCCTGGGGCAAGTTCGGAGGCGCCTTTTGCCGGTATGCGGATGAGATGAAAGAAATCCAGGAACGACAGAGGGATAAGCTTTATGAGCGCCGTGGTGGGGGCAGCGGCGGCGGTGAAGAGTCAGAGGGCGAGGAGGTGGATGAGGATTGAAACAGGCAGCTTCCCCGACAGGCCTCCGCCACCCCACCACCATCTCCTTGGCTGGAGAATTCCCCTTCCTGCTCATCCCCAGTGAGTAGTGGAGAGGGAGCAAGGGAGGCCGCAGAGGGGAAAAAACAAAACATAATATAGTTAAGAGAAATAATCATAAGAGAACAGTGACGGACAACTTGAGAAAAGCAGTCAAGTTCCAAGGAACTGACAGCAACCTGCAAAGAAGAAGACAACAGCATCTCTTCACCTGCGTAAAATAGTCTCAGCTTCTGTTGTTTCTCAACTGAGGTTCCTAAACCCATCAGGATAACCCCTGAAGGGAGTAGATCCTTGCGCATCTGGGGCAAGAAACACGTCCAAGTTACCCAGACCATTGGTAACAGTTGCATTTAGGTTGTACCTGGGTAATCTGGCATAAAAGATCTCTCTAGGCCTCATTGTTGCAGTGTCCGTCCCTTCACATCCATTGAAATCAGCATTTTGGATCTAGGTCTTCATGGAATCCTTGAGAGGCCTTTACAGTTACCCAGTTCTGAGGGTTCAGGTTCACGAAGAGAAATGCAACTTGGGATAATCGTGAACAGGTTAAAGATAAGAATTCTAGAAGCCATCTAAGAATACAGAACCAAATTGTATCCATTTTTTTTAAAAAAATGGTTTTGCATGGAACCTGGACCAAGGCAAATAATGTCTTTTCTTTGAAGAATTGTTTTCCGGGATGCCAGTGGATTCAGATATCAGTGCTTGAAGTAGAATCCATTACTAAAATAGTTTCAAAGTCGACAAATTTTCGAAGATAAAAGCAGTTTCACATTAGGGGTTGCTGAGGTAGGCACGAGAAAAAGTCAGGCATAAAGCACAAGGCAGACTGTTTGAGTGGATTGGTTGCTGCTCACTAAAGTTCTTCCCCTGATCTCTTAATACAGAGGTCATTACCAAGAAATGGCTTTGGTATGAATGAGAGCCAGATCTCCACTGTGTGAGCCAGTGCATTATGGCTAATTCGGCTGTTACAGCCACTGGTTGGCTGGATTTTAAACCATAAAACTTGAAGATTACCTACAAAAGGAACAGTGTGGCTATAAGCCTGAGCTTTAATGGAATATACATCCTCATGGAAAAGTTAGGAATAACCAAAACTGAAGTCTTAATTTACCTTCAGTTTAATCTGTGGATTTGTTCAAATACTAAAGATCCTCAGGTCCAGAATTCCAGCATCGTTTATTCTTTTAAATTTTTAAGAACTTGATCCATTGTATCAGTACCTCACAATCAGAGTTGGCAACTGATGGATGAGTGATTCAAGCAGTGCACCCGGTGGAAGCTGAAATCCATCTGTGAATGGAACTGAAGTGAACGTGAATATGCTGACTATATCCTGGAAGCATTTTTATACCATCTTGAAATTTCAACAAACTGGCTTTTGCCAGTTTATCCAGCTGTCTTTCAAGAATAAAAGTTGGGGTTTTCAAGGATCGCCTCTTCTATATTTTAAATGGATTTTCAGTAGAAATGATTTTTACTAATCAAGTTAATCCCACCCCATCAAAAGATATTCCTAGAAATGTCATAGACCTAGGTAACTTTGAATTGAATGGGAGCTAACGTTCTTTCCAAAGTTTTCAGGTAATTTGTGTGACACCTTCTCAACCAGGAGGCAAGTAACCCCACCTCCACAATCTTAGTATTTTTTTTAACTGCATGCCTGCCCCTTATTTGAGCTGCCTTTTTAATTTATTGCATATCCCTTTTATTATCTTATTTTGGTATTATTCAATCTATACAATCTTTTTGTATTTATTGGGAAATGAGTAATATACAAAAAGGTTTTCATGTATTTGTGGCTGAGAGGGCGGGAAATAATTGTGTACATAAAATTAGGCTTTTTTAAAAAAATAGACTGATGCAGAATATTGTTGATCTTAGATTTAAAAAAAAAAAAAAAAGTGGAAGAGCTACAAACATTGGTGCCCTTTTCAGACTATTTCTCTACTCTCATCATCCACAGTAGAATTTTTAAACAGATTTTTTTAAAGCTTTTCTTTTAAATTTTTCTCCGTTGCAAAGAATGTTTCCTAAATTGTATGGGAGCAATAGTATTTTTGATGTTTTAATGACATCCGTATACTTGTACTGTATTTTGTACTACAAGGCAGCTGTTTTCAATAATGTCCTGCTGTATTTACCTATGTGTTTTGAGTGTTTATTTCTTTGCTGCGGAGAACAAATTCCTAAATAGTTTTAGTAAAGGAGCTGAGAAGCTAGCATTAGGTTTGCAGAAACTGTTTAAGTTTCAAACTCTGAGGCAGCATTGAAAATTAAGGTTGCAGCTATTAGTTGATTGCTGTAACTTTTTCATTTTCAAACCATGTACAATTCCTGTATAGACCAACTTGTTTTCTTGCTTCAGTGGTGGTTCTGTTGCTCAGCTGCAGTGAGCCAGTTCAATTTTGCAAAGGTGCAGTACCTCTCCTTTTCAAGGGGTTGGTTTATTCTTTTTCTTTTCTTTTTGTTTGGCTGAATTGCAGTAACTAGCCTTGCCTTTCTATTCTGTAGAAATGACAGGCTCTTCACAATCCTTCACCAGTGGCTACTAAGCTATAATTAGCTGAATAGAAAGAATGTGGAAGTGGTCTGAGGCATATAGAGTATATGCCAAGAACACTACCATATATGGCATCAGCTTTGGTTACCAGAGAAATTTTCTTAGTCATTAGACCATATAACAGTAATATATCATATGTAAATCTTTAGATATCAATTTGAGAATCCTCCAAACAAGGAGCAAAGAATGCATAAGCTATGTGTTGGCAAAAGTAATTTATATTAAAATTTTGACCTGCCTATGTAAGATTAAGTGGTAATGTCATAGTGGTGGGTTTTTAAGTCTTAACCAATCTCTAAGGTTTGTTTCTCCTGCAAGGGATGGTTCATGGCCTCTCTTCCCACTGCAGGAAGATTGCAGAAGGCTGTGGACTAATTGTAGCATTTCACTGATCTTCATTCCAGTCACTAGGGACAATAGAAACCTGTAAAACACAGAAATTCATTTGTAAATATTATTAATAGCTTATTAAAGGAAATGGTCTTTGTTAATTCCAGTTGGAGAATGGCATTGTACAGACATGGGTAACAACCATTTTTTGTTTGTTTGTTTTTCAGTTGTTGCAATGATTTTTGAGCCTCTTTTTTAATTTTGGCAGATATCCCAGCTAATCAAAATAATCATATTCCTGAGAAGTAGGAAACTAAAACTTCTTTTAGTGGTGGAAGGTTCATTTTTCAAAAGTACTGTAGTTACAAAGATGAAACGCCAAATTTAGGAACAGAATCAAAAGAACAAAAATCTGTGAAGAGAATCCTACTACTCTTTACTACTCTGTTTTGGTTTCTATTGTCCCTACCTGTCATTTCAGCAAGTGGAACGGCAGCAAGTTTTTCAGTGCATATGCTGCACAGAACAAAATAGAAATCTGTATGGCACCAAAAATCAAAGTGAAAACCAAACCAAAAACCCAAACACCCTATGTAACTATCGGAGGCATGTAGGTGGTATAAATGACTGTAGCTGTGATACACACATGGCTACTTGTCACATCATTTTCCATAATTATTTACTGCAAAATGATTGAGAGGCTTTTGGTGCAGGCAGCCATTAACCTCCTGCTTCCTTTGTTTTCCTCTGGATTACTTTGCAGTAAATTGCAGGTCTTTTAAGAGATTCAAGCTTCAGTTTTCTCAAAACAAAACAATTATCCTGTCTTATCTGAAAATGCAGGGTTGTGGGCAAAAGAGGCTGGTTATAATAATGCCCTCATATTGAGTGGTCTGTAAACGGCTGCACACTTCAGGCACTGTAGTTGCTGAAGATGCTTTGTTAAATGTGACCTTGACTGGCTTTACATGGGTGTAGAATGTAATCTACACAAGGTGACTTTGCATCTATCTTGCTCTTGAGGTGGATGAAATTGAGAAGCTGGAGTGTGTAAGCCATGCACATAAGTATTCTTCACTGTAAATTTTGTTTTCATTTTTAACCCAATTATGGTACTTTGTCCAATGCACAGCTGATCTCTCAGTAGATATTCATCTGAAAATAGTGTGGCCTTGATCAGTGAGAAAGGGAAGGAGAAAAGTGACTTTTTTGCTTATGTAGAAATGACTCAATTGCGGAGAGTGTGTCTTTCTGCAGCACTCTTGGTATAATGTTAGTAATCGGTCTCCTTTTTGTTTGGGGAAAATTAATGTTTTTGACCCTGGAGTTAATTCAATTGAGTTGTCTTCTATTTTTAGGAAGTATCAGAATTGCTCTGATGAATAACAAAGTTGACTGTTTGATGTCCAATCTCAGGTTTTAGAATATAGTGGTGTAAAGTCCCACTATTTTTAATTCTAAACAGTTTTAATTTCGTATACCCTAAAAGTCACATGCATAAGGCCTGTTCAGAGAGCAGAGCCTCCATCTTTTTGCTCCTTTTCTACTTTGTACTTTGCTTGAAAAAAAAGTCAAGTGACTTTACATTGTATATTTCCATTTTAAACCTGACATATTTCTCAAAGATAAAGCACTTTTTGATCATGAAATACATGAAATCTTTGTGTGATGTGGATCATAGTTTCTCAGGCTCCCTTAGATAATTGCTTATGAATATTGTTCTAACTCTGTGTAAGAAGAGTAGAAATCTTTGCTAATGTTAGGTTTGTATTATTGATCCAGAATGCATTTTGCTAGTTTCCAATGGATGGGAGAGTAAACAATGCTGCATTCACAATTTAATAAGTTACTTTCCCTTGAGCCTTAAGGTAACTTTTTCTTTTTTTGTCAACAACAGCACTGAAGTTATAGTACGTGAATGAGATTATCAGTTTTCAGGGTTGGTTTTAGAGTACTGTAAATCAATTAGCTGTCTTCCTAAAGAGTTACAACTCCCATTCAATATACTGGATAATGGGCGTGTGGGTGGGGCAGGGGAGGGCGGGAGATGGTTTGTAGAAAAGAAAAAAGAAAAAAAAAAACACATTTACCTTAAGAAAATATAAACAAAAAAAAGAATAAAGTCTGTGTCATATGCCCCATTTGAAATTCCAAGTGTGGCCGGGTGTGGTGGCTCACACCTGTAATTCCAGCACTCTGGGAGGCCGAGGCTGGGGGATCACTTGAGGTCAGGAGTTCAAGACTACTCTGGACAACATGGTGAAACCCCGTCTCTACTAAAAATACGAAAATTAGCTGGGCATGGTGGCGCGTGCCTGTAGTCCCAGCTACTTGGGAGGCTGAGGCAGGAGAATGGCTTGAACCTGGGAGGCAGAGGTTGCAGTGAGTAAAGATTGCGCCATTGCATTCCAGCCTGGGTGGCAAAACAAGACTCTGTCTCAAAAAAAAAAAAAAAAAAAAAAAAACACGAAAAGAAATTCCAAATGTAAGGTGGAAATGGCAAATTATAACTTCATTTCCCCCATTTTTAACTTAGAAAAAAGTCATTAATTTTCAAGTATTAGCTTCCCAGAAGTTTCAGCAGATAGCTGGACTCTTGAATAACAAGTTATTTTGATATGTCTGACTTTGCTATTTAAAGTCACGTTTCCCAGCCCTCAGTCTTAAAACTCAGTTTTATTACTGACAGATTTAATGAACTCTTACTTGAACAATTGTGGCCCAATTATTCAGTACTGAAAATTAGCTTTGGAAAATGAAAAAATAATAAAATTGCATCATGAAAACTTGTTACCCTAGAGATTCCCAATTGTTACCTGTACCCTGATCCAAGTAAGGCCTTGATGAATGTATTTTATATTTCCTGAAGAAGTAGAGAATATACCATCAATGTAATCACCTCTATTCATAATCATTTGAAAATCTAACTCATGCCTCTTGAATTAGACATTCCAACTGGGATAGGTAGAGCCATGTTAAAACAATAACAACTGCCTTATTGGCTGTTTCACTGCTTAATAGGATTTCTAATAAAGTAAGAGCAGAGCTTTATTGGGAGCTGAAACTCATTTTTCTCCCATAGGTGATTCTAACAGTTTAATTAAAAAGTACAATTATACTTTCAGGTGTCATCAGATTTTGAGTCTAGAAGCAAATTTCATTTTCCTTGTGTTATATCTAATATCCATTGACATGGGCAAGAGAACTAATTATATCTTTTTAGTATGATGAAATGTGGCCCCAGAGTATTGGCAAGACAGCAATAGCCCTATTCAGTGTCCACTAGAATATTGCAGAAGGCATGAGTTTGTCCTTTTCCCCGCTTCGCTTCAATAACTATTCAATAGCTAACTTTTCCCAAAATATCAATTTAGGCCATCTCCTATTTCTTAAAGCCAAATATTTTGTCCCCCAGTCTTAACTCTGAGTTGCGAGATCAGGCTGGTTGGAAGAAATAGGATTTTGAGTGGTTTGTTTATTCTCTTGTTAAATTCCTTTTTGAGAGACATAACTGCAGGGAGAGTCCCAAGAAAATTGAAGAATTGAATTATATCATTAAACACATTTGTGTTGTAGGCATCTGGGAGTTTCATTTTGAACTGATAAGATACTGTTTATTATTATTATTATTATTGAGATGGAGTTTCGCTCGCCCAGGCTGGAGTGAGTGCGGTAGCTCAATCTCAGCTCACTGCAACCTTCACCTCCCAGGTTCAAGTGATTCTTCTGTCTCAGCTTCCCAAGTAGCTGGTATTACAAGCATGTGCCACCATACCCAGCTAATTTTTTGTATTTTTAGTACAGACAGGGTTTCACCATGTTGGCCAGGCTGGTCTTGAACTCCTGGCCTCAGGTGATCTGCCTGCCTCAGCCTCCCAAAGTGCTGAGATTACAGGTGTGAGCCATCATGCCCAGCCGACTCTGAATTTCTTAAAGTCAATAGGTTGAGCAAAGTCTAGAGACTGGCTTGAAGTCAGTATGAGACATACTGATTTGCGTGTTTCGGTAGCAGACAAGTATATTTGAGTTATTTTCAATGACATCAATATCTGAGTAGTAACTAAGATCGTCAGTGTATTTGGACTTCTTTTTTCTGAAGTTCTAGAACAATTAGGGATTTATTCCTTTTGGGCCTCCATGCAGATGTTTTTCCAAGATCTTTTTTAAAAAATTCATTTGTCTTCTTATATATTTCCAGATGACCTGCTTTTTGTTCTCTAGGAATCTTCACTGCCAATCATAAATCTACCAGTGGCTTCCTTAGACTAGATTATCACTCCAAAGCTGGGACTGATGTCCTGCCAGTAGAGAATCTACAGAAATAATTTGAATGAATTAAAACCAAATCTTGATAGCAGGAGACAGCTTCCTGATCTAGATGTACAATTAAAGTTTAGGTTGGAAATTACTTTAAAATGTGTTTTTTGGAGATGTCTTCAATCTCTGTGTAAATACCCACATGCTTATGCATTGTAAACCAAGTGTGTGTTCCTATGTATGAATTTGTAGAACTGATTTCTGCTTCAAGAGAAGCTGCACCTTTAATTTTATAAGGTCCCCTCCACCTGTAACCCTATAAATGTTTGTAAATAGAACACTAAAATTTGTAGTGATAGGATCAATTTGGGAATATCTGCTGAGAGACCAAAAAGTTCATTTTTTTAAGTACCTTGGTTAAAGAGTAAAGATTATTCCTCTTGCTTATTTTTTAAAGAAGAATGCACTTTAACAAACATAGAGCTGCATGGGCAATTCAAACAAATCTGTGAAGTGCAGTACCCATTCAAAAATCACACTTCCTGGAAACCGTTCAAAAACAGAATCCAGACGGGCTGTTGATCTCACTGCCTGTAGGTTGAAGCTCAGATTTGATCAATTTTGAGAGGAGCAGGGCTGCTTCAAAAGAGCAATGTGAATACAGTCAGAAGCTTCAGACAGGTCTGTAAAAATGGCGGGTCCCGTATTTACCACTAACTAGCAAAACTGACAGAAAAACTCACAGAGAAAAAAGTTTAAGAATCCTTCCTGCTGGTGTGCACTCCTTACAATAGACTTTTGCAAATGGAGTTTTACAGTCTATATTTAAAAAAAATTGTATGTTTGTAACAAATAAAGTATGCAGAAAAGTGAATGACAATCTTGTGCTTGTGTCTCTAAGTAATTGTGTGGTGATGGGGAGGGAAATACTATCTGTTGGGGCTCATGATTGGATATGGAATCAGAGGAATACCCACTTGAAATTACTTAAGTCATTGCACATTTCATTTGAACTATATCCTGTTCTGGAACTTCTGGGTTCCCATAACCCTTTTTAGTAAGCAGTTTGTAGAGTAAATCAAAAGTGCAAGTTAATTTTATGCTTTGGTTCATAACCTAGACAGGCACTTGCTTCCCTTAATTTCTCCCATTTACAATATTTGAAAGAAACTGCTAAGCCTTCCTTCATTGTTTATCAACTTTGTAACTGCTTAGGAGGTAAATTAGGCCAGCCTTTTCTTACCCTAACCCAGGCGTCCCCAAACTTTTTACACAGGGGGCCAGTTCACTGTCCCTCAGACCATTGGAGGGCCGACACATACTGTGCTCCTTTCACTGACCACCAATGAAAGAGGCGCCCCTTCCTGAAGTGCGGCGGGGTTGGGGGGGGTGGATAAATGGCCTCAGGGGGCCGAAGTTTGGGGACGCCTGCCCTAATGTCAAAGAAAAAAATTGAATTGTGTCCATTGATCCTGGCCAGAGATTCTCAAACATTTTGGTCTCAGGAACCCCTTTACACTTAAATTTACTGAATATCCCCAAGAAGGTTTTAATTTTTCTAGGCTTTATCTGTAGATACCTATCATTTTAGAAGGTGGAGCATTTTCAAGGCAGAAATAACAAGCACATATTCCATCAGCTATCAGCAATTACATCATTTAGCCTCTGGAAAACTCCACTGTAATTTTATGAGAGAATGAAAGTGAAAAAAGCTAATGTTCCTTTTTTTTTTTTTTGAGATGGAGTCTCGCACTGTCGCCCAGGCTGGAGTGCAATGACGTGATCTCAGCTCAGTGCAACCTCCACCTCCCAGGTTCACTCTATTCTCCTGCATCAGCCTGTAGAGTAGCTGGGGTTACAGGCGCACACCACCATACCTGACTCATTTTTTGTATTTTTAGTAAAGATGAGGTTTCACTATTGGCCAGAATGATCTTGAACTCCTGACCTTGTGATCCCCCTGCCTCAGCCTCCCAAAGTGCTGGGATTATAGGCATGAGCCACCGCACCCGGCCAAAAAGCAAATGTTCTTATGAACATAGCTTTGACCTCTTGGACTCCTGAAAGAGTCACAGCCACCCTTAGGGAATTCTGGATCACTCTTCAGAACCACTAACTAGACTGATGTAAATAATAACTTTCTGAAAATGAAGGATTTTTTTTTTTTACAGAGATAAAGCTTAATCCTTTAGTTCTTGCATGTTTTCTTTATATTAGAAGCTCCTGCTATGAAATGCTCACCCTTCCCCTGGTCCCCCGACACACAACGTACTTAATTTTCCTGTGATTGTCCACTTTTACAATCCTGTAAGTGGTTCTCAGTGCTGACTGCAGAACCACCTGGAAAGCATTGAATATTGATGCCCAGGCACCACCCCGGACCAACTGAATCAATCTTTGAGACACAGATAAGGAGTTTTTTATTAGTGCTTTGGCTTTTTGAGCTCCCCCCGTGATGCTAGTCTACAGTCGGGGTGAAACCAGTGGCCTGTGGGATTTTAAGGTACAAAGAAGGGAAAAGGGTTGGGAATTTCTGCCAGAGAACAAGAGTTTAGCAGAACATTTCTTGAATGTCTGGCTTTTACCTCGAAACCACTATGCCTCAATTACTGCTTAAACCTCTAAAGTAACTAATCTTGAGAAAAGTTTGCAAATTGAATTCTTAAGCATTGATAGTCCCTCACTGGGAAAATCTGGGGTTTTGCTAGCACAGAGAATCGCTTAGCATGCATCAGAGTTACCTAGAGGGCTGGTTAAAACATGGATTACTGAGTTTCTGATTTAGCAGTTCTAGAGGGAACTTAAGTTGCAT